AACAACATGGTGGCTCACAAACATCTGTAATGACATCTGGTGCCCTCTTCTGGCCTGCAGAGACACATGCAGGCAGAACACTGTATACATAATAAAATAAATATTTTTTTAAATAATGTACATAAGGCTAGAGATATGGCTCTGTGCTTAAGAGCAGTTGATCTACCTGGTGGTGGCACACATCTATAGCCCAGCACTTGGAAGGTGGAGGCAGAAGGATCAGAAATTCAATGATATCCTTGGCTATATAATGAATTCCAGGTCAGCCTGGGCTATAAGACCATGTCTCAAAAAAAAAGTGTCTGGGAATAGCCCAGTTATAGAGAACCTGCCTGATATGTTCAAAACCCTAGTTTTACTTACACACACACACACACACACACACACACACACACACACACACACACCCCGAAGAGAGGAGAATCCGGCCTCTTGTACTATCTGTCTCAACCAAGGACATTTCTTGCACACATTACCATATTCTTTTCAAAGTCCCCTCAGACACATCTGTGAAAGCCAGCATTCCCTCAGGGACTTGGTAGTCCCTACTTTTAAGGAATTCTCCTTATCTCTGGGAAGAGGGGGGCTTGAAGATAGTTCCTTCTGCTCAAAGGAGTCATTCTCTCTGGCCAAAGGGATGTATGGCTCTCATTAACATAACTGTGGTGCCTATTAGCATGTCAAGGTTGACCCCTCAGTCCCTACCCAAGCCCTCCTGGAGCTCACAGGCTCCCTCCCTCCTAGGTCCCAGAAAACCCAGGAGATGTCATAATACCCCCTCCAGCTCCCCCTGCCCTCCCCCTTCTGCTCTCCTGGAGACACAGCCTTGGCAATTTAGAATAACTTTCTTTTTCACCCTTGGAGTGGCTGTTTGGGTTTCTTCACTGTATCCATTTCATTCCCAATCTGCGACTTTGCAGTCTTGCTTGTAAAACAGGAACCTGAAAACTCCTGCGGTGGTGCACTGTAATCCCAGCATTGGGAAACAGAGGCAGGAAAGCCAGAAACCCAAGGTCATCTTCCACTATGTAACACAAACCTGATATCCCGGGCTTCATGAGACCATCACAACCCTTACTTCCTATCCCCAGAAGAACCTATGTCCCATCACTTAGGAAGCTCAGGAAGGAGCATTACCACAAGTCCCAGGCCAGCCTTGGCTACGGTGAGAGACCCTGTCACAACCCCATGAAACCTGCCGAGAGTAATGTAGTGTAATCAATCCTACTGCTTTGAAGGCTGGAGCAGTGAAACCTCCACAAGCCAACAGACCAAGACTTGGGGGAGAGGAAGGCATTTACAGGAAAATACTTGAAGAGCAACACATCCAAAAATAAAAAGGCCATTCCAGAAAGACAAACCTCACACGTTTTCTTGCATTACAGAGGATCTAAATGCAAATAAACTAAAAGCAGAAAGAGACTGTCCTGGCTGGTTTTGGGTGTCAACCTGACACAAGCTAGCATCATCAGAAGGAGCCTCGGTTGAAGAAATGCCTCCGTGAGACCCAGCAGCAAGGCATTTTCTCACTTAGTGATCAATGGGGGAGGGCCCAGCCACGGTGAGTGGTGCCATCCCTGGACTGCTGGTCCTGGGTTCTCTAAGATGGCCTGAGCAAGGCACAGGAAGCAAGCTAGGAAGCAGCCCCCCTCCATGGCCTCTGCATCAGCTCCCGCCTCCAGGCCCCTGCCCTGCTTGAGTTCCGGTCCTGACTTTCCTTCAGTGATGAACAGCAAATGCTAAGAGGTCAGCTGAATCAACCTTTTCCTCCCCAACTTGCTTTTTGATCACGGAGTGTTTCGTGGCCACAATAGAAACCCTAAGACCGGGACAAAGGTACTGGCTGGCAAATGTCATCAAAGTCTGTGCCACCATGAAACCCATTTATACTGTTTATGAAAGGTAAAAGATAATAGTTACAGTTTTTAAATCTTGAGAACTGGCCAGATGCAGTATCATACTCCTATAACCCCATCATTTAGGAGGTAGAGACAGGTAGATCAGGGTCAGCCGGGCGGTGGTGGTACACTCCTTTAATCCCAGCACTCCAGAGGCAGAGGCAGGCAGATCTGAGTTCAAAGCCAACCCGTTCTACAGACAGCTTGTTCCAGAAACGCCAGCACTCAGGAGGCCAAGGCTGTGCATTCAAGGCCAGCCACAGCTGTCCAGAAGATCCTCTTAAAAATGAAAGAAGGAACTAAGTTTTCCAACACTTGCCCTCCCTTCAATTAAAGTCCCTGCCTACTTCAGGGGAAAGACAAGGGCTCAACACTACCACTTTTAATTTGGGGCCTGTAACTCTGTATTCACCCAAACAAGCACTTAGGTGCACCCTAAAGTCTGTACTGATGGCTTGAAGTACAGCACCTTTTCATCTTACACCACAAGGCATACACCTGAACCCTGGAGCAGCCGGTCAAGACCGGTGATGCATACAGGTCTATATATCTAACTGGGTCACAGAAACGCCAGTGCTACAAAGATCTTGTCTCAAAAAAAAAAAGTTGAGCTTCATCTGCAGCTACATAAGTTCAAGGCCTGGGCTATAGTCACCCTGTTCCCACCAACTATATGAAGACCTGATGTGGTGGCACATGCCTTTAATCCCAGCAAAGGCAGGCAGAGCTGAGTTTCAGGCCAGCCAGGGCTACATAGTAAGATCTCAAGGAAACAGATAAAATCACCTGCATCTGTTTCCTTTGGTGGTAGAGATCAAAGTCAGGGCTTTGTGCATGTAGGAGGAAGTACTTGGCACGATGCTACATCATAGCAAAAGTAAAAGTTGTCATTCCGAAGATTTTTTATTTATTTTTATTTTTATTTTATTTTTATTTTTATTTTTTCTTATTTATTTATTTTTCGAGACAGGGTTTCTCTGTGTAGCTTTACACCTTTCCTGGAACTCACCCGGTTGCCCAGGCTGGCCTTGAACTCAGAGATCCACCTGGCTCTGCCTCCCAAGTGCTGGGATTAAAGGCGTGCGCCACCACGCCCGGCCTGAAGAATCTTTTTATCTAGCACTCCGAGGCAGAGGCAAACAGATCTCCAGTTCTAAGCCAACCTGGAGTATAGTGTGAGTCACAGGCCAACCAGGGCTACCGTGAGACTGCTTCAGAGAGCAAACCTGGCCACGGAGAGGTTCCTTCAAGTCGGTATCCCATCCTCAAGTCATCGGTACATTCACCTGTCACCCAGAACATGCAAGTTCTATCTTACATGTGACAAACCCAAGCTTTGCTCTCCACTCAGTGATTTTTGTTTTTCAAGACAGGGTTTCCCTAGGGAGCTTTGCGCCTGTCCTGGAACTCACTTGGTAGCCCAGGCTGGCCTAGAACTCAGAGATCCCCCTGGCTCTGCCTCCCCAGTGCTGGGATTAAAGGCGTGCACCACCACTGCCAGGCTATCTCCTAGATTTTTTGATACAAGGTCTCATTGTACGGCTCTGGCTATCCTAAAATTTGCTGTGTAAACCAGGATGACCCTGAACTTCCAAGGTCTGCCTGCTCGAGATTACCAAGGGCTGGGACTAAAGGCATGCAACAGCACAACCTTGCCTCCTGGCATTTGTAAATGAAAATTTATTCCTGCTAGCTGTTAGCCCTACCCGTTGAATATTTCTGTGAAAATTTAGAGCACTCAGCTGCCTCCCGTCAGACTTGTTTTCAGGACAGGGTCTCTTGTGGTTCTTAGCTGTCCTGGAACTCTCTGTAGACCACACTACCCTCAAACTCAAGATCCACCTGCCTCTGCCTCCCAAATGCTGGGATTAAAGGCGTGTACCACCCCCACCCCAGCCACCTCAGACTTCCTAAGGAGACTCAACCCACAAGCGCTCCAAGTTCAGGAAATTCAGATGACCCTAAGATACCAGCATTCCAGTCCCAGCCCTCCAATCCGCCCTTGCCAGAAGGGAACAAGCCAAAAGCAGAAGTAGCTGGTGGCAACTAGATACAACCAAATGGAACTTTCAAAGCCTGTTTTTGTCAAAAAACCATGTTGCAAACCCAGTCCACTGGAGTCACCTTGAGTCAAAGAGCCAGAGGAGACTCGACAGCCTGGCAGGCAGCTCCATCCCTATCAGATGTACTGGGTTAAGGAACAAGGGAAGCCTTTGATCCTGTGAGTGTTGGGGTGGGGACCCACAATCCAGAAGATTCCAGCCTCAGGAAGATAGTGAGGGTGTCCA